GCTTTAAGGTCCTTTCCAACCCAAACCATTCCATGACTCTATAAAGGCAGAATTCATTAGTGTAGGGATCTATGATTCTATCCCTGTTTCAAGGCCACCAAGCAAGGAGAGATGTCCCCATCCCCTCTGCCACAGTGACAATCCACCCTGTGGGACCTGGTGCTCTCACCTCCTCACACAGTACGTGTCCAGCAGCCCCTGGAAGTCACTGGGGAAGGTGATGGCATAGGACACGAATGCAGCCAGTTCCCCCTGGTTCGCCCTCTCAGGAGGGGTCTGCAGCAGCTCACACACCCGCTGCAGCCACGACATGGCCAGGGCCAGGAGATCCACTGGTTCTCCTCCTGCCCGCGGCGGCAGCTCCTGCCCGGAGAACATGGGCTTTGTATCCTCCACAGTGCCAGGAGCAAGGCCATGGGCAGAGCATCAAATCACCACCTCCATCCTCATCACATCCCCATCTCTATCCCCATCCCAACGCCCATCCCCATCTCCATCCCAATCGCCATCCCATCCCCATCTCGCCTCATCCCCTCTCCATCCCATTCCCATTCCCATCTCCATCCCCATTCTCAACTCCATCCCATCCCCATTCCATCTTTATCCCTATGGTCATCCCCACTCCCATCTCCATTCCATCCCCATTCTCAACTCCATCCCATCCGCATTCCATCTCCATCCCTATCCCTATCTCCATCCCCATCCCATCTCCAACCCCATTCCCATCTCCATCCCCATCTCCATCCCCACTCCCATCTCCATCCCATCCCCATCCCCTGCCCACAGCAACGCTCACCCGGGGCTGCACCTCCTCCAGCGAGGTGAAGGACATGATGAAGGAATGGGCGATGGTGCCACGCACCGGGATGTCGTAGAGCTTCCCCGCCAGGACGTTGCTGGTGCTGTCAAAGCCTGTGAGGAGGGATGGGGTGGACACACCAGTAATGACATGGCCACGGTGCCACCGGGCACCAGAGGCCATCACTCACCCCCGATGTAGGAGTACTTGGAAGCTGAAAGGGCACCATCCGGCCCCTGAGCGCGGCGGAGCCCCATCTCCATCAGCTTCATGTCTGGACCAGCAAGGAGGCGGAAGCGGGCAGCGTTCGTGGCCACCAGGCTATGGGAGAAAGGGACGCATCACACCAAGCCAGGCTGAGCACGGAGCCACCACACAGCCGCGGGTCGCGGGCTTCAGGACCTTCTCCACTCAACCACAGTGGACGGGACCACCACGGGACTGGGGGAGTTTGGCACAGAGGAGATGATGTTGTCCCCAGCAGCTGGGTGCCCGAAGCAGGACGTGTCCCTACCTGGCGTAGTTGACCAAGCACAGCAACATGGTC